TATTAAAAAATATATCACTGTAAAATGTTACTTTGAAGATTAATAATTTAAGAAATCCTTAGAGATAATGTTAAATAAACATGTGGATACCAGATGCAGATTTTCAGTTTTACAAAATTCTTTTTCTACTTTCAAACTGCCCCTCCCCCACTCTTCCATTACCAACTATGACCCATTCATTCTTCTAATCCATAGAGAAAAAACCCTGAAATAAACTGAACCCAAGAGACTAACAAAAAGTGAATTGGGATAGGGATGATAAGGTTAATTTACATTCTTTTTATTTGCAATATGCAATCACTGTTGGCTATTACAATCTGAAAGAAATATAATAAAAATCAAACATCTTTTAAGAAATGGGATATAATTGATTTCTTTCAAACTGAGTTCTTATTCTGATCATATATTTAATGCTTCTCCCTTTTTAGAGATAGTTTGTACAATTTAAGCATAATCAACACTGATACATTGTTACCTAGTGTCACAGCTACAAACTCAAAGTTATAAACAATCCATCACTATATATGTACATATTACATAGATGTCAAACAAGATACAAATGAGATAAAAATAACTGCTATCATTCTAAGGATTTGAATTTTTGTATACAGATTAAATAAAGCATGGGTATATGAGAGTGTTTTGAAAAATATATGTTATGCATATTCTTAAATATGTTTGTTTACAAAAATGTTTGTTTTTTCAAATCTGAGCTCCGACTTGTAAAGGCTACCATTATAAATCAGATATATTCCCTGAACTCAAGGAAATTATATTCTAGTAAGAAATCACACAATATATCTATGTAAAAGTATGTTAAATACACATACACACACTTATATACACATACACACACAAATGCATTTATTGTTAACTACTTTGGTTAATGGTCCTTGAATGTTGAAATCATGGTATATCTCATGATTACACAATAAGATTTTGTGCCAAGATCACCCTCTTTCAGGGCTGCTGTGAGCTTGTATGTAAAAGTTTCACCCCTGTGATACAAAAGTTTCACCCCTGCTCCTGAGGTAGCCAGAGACTCTTGGCCTAGAGAGGCAAAGGCACCTATATTTAAAGAAAAAAGCAGAGCTTCACTCCAGGCCAGAGCACAGGCTGTATTTTAGGTTTTATTAGCCTACCCCAGTAGGTGCGGTTGAACAGTTCACAAACCCCAGTAACATATGCTGGCCACCCTGCTTCCTAACTGTGCTCCTGATGGCTTAATACTCAATCCCTCAGGGACCTACCACACTCCTGATTCTAATACTTAGTGAGATTATTAACTTAGTGTCAATAAAAATATAATTTTTTTAAAAAAATTATTTGCTATTATAGAAGTAGGTACAAATGCAATATGTAATTTGGATAAAATAACTACAGTATTTGACTTAGAAGCAACCAAAACTTTCATTATTTTGTTAATATGAATTTTTAAAAGGAAGCAATGATTTAAAAGGGAAAAAAGCAAACTCTCTGTTTCACAATTCTGTTTCCAGGATTGTTTTAAATCAGAATTTTGGGGGCACTGGCTAAGTAGGTTAAGCATCTGCTTTTGGTTCAGGTCATGATCTCAGGATCCTGGGATTGAACCCCACATTGGGGTCCCTGATCAGCAGGGGGTCTGCTTCTCCTTGTCCCTCTACCACTCCCCCTGCTTGTGCTCTCTCTCTCTCATGTACTCCCTCTCTCTCTGTGTCAAATAAATAAATAAAATCTTTTTAAAAAATCAGAATTGTGAAGGGCATTGGTCACAATGAATGCTTATGTTCATTAAGATTTGCACTAGTATCTGTTTTAATTATACCTGAAATTTCCTGTCATGTTCTGAAATTTCCTGTCTCATTCTGAGCTTTCTCGGAGGAGAAAATTAGCAAGTCATCTTGTGGAACAGAAATGTTCTCAGAATTATTGTAGTTTCCTAAATAATTATTAGAGAAAATCCTGACAGTATTTGGAGGGAATGGTAAGCACCACTACCCAGTAGTCCTCCTGTCAGTATTGTTAATTAATATACTAGAAGTTCCATTGGTCTTATAAAAAAAAATCCCTTATTAAAAATTAGAAAATTTTGGATACAGAAAGGAAAGCATCATTCTCATCAAAAAATCATTAATTTATTTTCTCATGTTGGATATTGTGCTGTATTCTGTAAAGTTTTTGTGGGTTTAATGCTATTTAGAGTAGTATATAGGCTTAATTTTAATGCATTATATATTATTTAAATCTTATAAGAAATTTTAATTTAAAAATTATTCATGGATCACAGAAACTAAAGAACTTAATCTTCTTTTAAGACTCCCTTACATTTAGTTTCTGATTCACTTTTATATTATTATTTTTTTTTTTTAAAGATTTTTTTTATTTATTTATTTGAGACAGAGAGAATGAGAGAGACAGAGAGCACACGAGAGGGGGGAGGGTCAGAGGGAGAAGCAGGGAGCCCAATGCGGGACTCGATCCCGGGACTCCAGGATCATGACCTGAGCCGAAGGCAGTCGCTTAACCAACTGAGCCACCCAGGCGCCCACTTTTATATTATTTTTTACAAATAAAGACTTTTTAAAATTATACATTACAGATTTTCCCTTGAAAATCATTTGCTAATGATCAGACTTTGGGTTATTGCAAAGAAGATGCCTAGAAGTTAGCATTCCCTGATTGATGAGACATAGGAATGATCTTAAATATTTCTGAAGGTAGTGGTATAATTTCCAGACTCCCTTAAGATAAGCAGATGTGTTTGTGAAAAAGAATAATTTCTCTCTCCACTTATGTGATTGAGAATGGGATTGCTAGAATTGGTCTAGTATGTTTGCTTTTGTAGCGTATTTAAGTGCTGGAATAGTTTCACTACGTCACCTTTACTTCCTGGAAAGGAAAATCATTGTATTTTAAAGCTCAAGTGACTTTCGGACTATGAAAAGGGTTACTTGACTTTGAAAGTAAGAGCTTAATCAAGAGGTAAACTCTGTTCTTGAGCAAGGAAACCAAATTCAGTATTAGGCAGCAGGCATCTGTGAAACGATTTACTTCTATGTAATTTTACAAATGTACTATGCAGACAAAAATGAAATTAGTTTGCCAGAACGTGCATTCTACCTTCTGCCACTAACTCAGTCCTATGAAGGCATATCTTCTGGCACTAACTGGGTCCTATGTTGGGCTGACAACTGCTTTCTTGACCCTTTTGTACGGTTCATCTTCTATCAAGAATCCTCTGCTTCCCCCCCCCACCCTGCTGCTTTCCCTTCACTACCACCCACTCTTCAGAAGTGCGTGTGTATGATGTGACAGCCTGTTATCTAAGCAGGCAGGAAGCCCTAGTTCTCTTGGCAGGAGGTGCTTGAGTGAGGAGGTGTGTGTGTCCTTTTCTTTGATAGTTAGCTGTTGTTCAACCGAGATTTTTGGTGGGTGTGTTTTTCATTTCAAACTAAAATCATCATTTTACAAGTATATCCAATTTCCTCTGATATTAACAAGTGTGAGGGAAAAAATGGATCAAAATGAAATAGTAAACAGAATCAAGAGTGGGAAATGGGAATTTAATCTTGAAGTATTTGCCGTCTTTTAATTTCTTGGCTATGCTGCTAACTGGGCCTTTATGGTCCCTGCAGTCACAGATTGCACATATCTTTGATATTATGCTGAATAAATACCTCTAGGTAATCAGCACATGATCTTGAAACACTATTGCTGTTAGATTATACGTTGTTAGCACTTTGACACAAGAGGTACTTGATATTTCAATGATCGCTTCACTGAGCACTATTCTTTTCACCCTCTCATCATGTTGTAAACTGTTTTCTAGCTTAGGCAGGCAATAATTGATCTCAATAATGTGGCTATGTACTTAACCACTGAGCAGCAACCAGATGTGAGGGTTTATTTCCAGTAAAACACTTGAATACTGCCCATGGAGAAGTGAGTCTAATGTCAGTTCCACCCTTGATGTAACAAGTGCTCTTTGGTGAGCTGTACTCTTTTAATGAGATTATTTGTAAGCATAATGGGGAGTATGGAAATGTGCCAATTGAAGAGTCAATGGGAGAGGAATAATAGGGATAATGAGTGACAGGGAGAGGAGAAACAGGTAGACCAAGGAAATCAGGCACACTGAGAACTCTGTAAAATCAAGTGAGTGAATTATAGCTGTAAGAGGATGTCTAATGGTAATTTTTGATGTGTTTTATACTCAGGAGTGTGAAAGTCACTTTATGCATTCTATTTTTGATAATTAAGATAATTTATAGGTTTGCCACCTTTCCTCTTTCAAGTGGCAAGCTTCCAGATCCTTCCTGTACCGTCATGCTGTAGAATGAAGTGGCAAGTGAACAAGTTCTCAATAAGCCTGCTAAAATTCCAAAGTTATTGCCATCAAATAAATGTTTTCTAAAATGACTCTTATATTTTTTCTTAATTAACATATTTCTTTTTAGCAGAGATATAGAAGTTCATATCTCACTATCTGAGTAGGGAGCCCAATGTGGGGCTCGATTCCAGGACACTGGGATCATGACCTGAGCCAGAGGCAGATGCTTAATGGACTGAGCCACCCAGGCACCCCAATGTTTCCCATATTTTAAAGGTTGATTTGACATGTTTTGCCACAAATTCAGTTTTAAACCCTAAAAAAATATTTTATAAATAAAAATAATAAACTTTTACCTTTTGAAATAATGCAAAATACTATTGAACATGGAATGCAATGATAGTATCATTTTTCTGTCTATCCACGTAACATTTAATCTTTAAAAGTACTTGAATCTGCACATAATAGCTTTAATTGAAAGGGATAAAGCATATTATTAAATCTGGCAGACTAATTCATCATATGCATTTATAACAAGTACTTCAAATCATTTCATTCTTTCACCTGTCCAAAATCAACATTTTCCATATGTTCATTAGGTTTCCTTCCATATTTTTTTTTTGAACATGCACTGTGAGCTTAAATCTCAAAGAAACAAAAGAATGTATTGTCACGAAAGGAAAAGAGAGTGCTTACTTTGGCAGTACTTAAGCTAAAATTCTGAACAATACAGAGATTAGCATAGCCCTTACACAAGGATGTCACCAAATTCGTGAAGCTTTCCATATTTAAAAAAAAAAAAAAAGAAGAGGGATGTTTGAACTACATCAGCTAAATTTTAAAAACCGTTTAGAGCAAATAACACCTCAAATTTTGTAAATTTATCATTCTAGCTTAAATTTACATAAAAATATGAGGTCCTAATACTGAAAATGCTTTTTCATATTAAAAAAGTCCTTTAAATATTTTTAAATGACATTAGAATCCTTAGATATTTTCCAAGGAATATAAAGATCAAAGCACCTGTGTCTTTTCTTCCATTGGCATATTGACTCAAATTACTATAAACTTTCCTACTTAAGTGAAGCATTTTACAAAATTCCACATAGAGTCCATTATCTGAATTGTGGAAGAAAATAAAATCTTATTGAGGAGCAAGAATTGGCACATTTTCAATGGCTGAATATGATAACAAATGAGACCATTGGACTCATTTGTCATGAAATGTCATCATCCACCTTCATATTCCTATTTATTCCCCTTACCATTGCCTCTTGGTAAATGTGGGAGGCAGTCCCTACATATGGAAAATCCTGGTGTAGGTGGGCAGTGGCTGCTTTATAATTGCATAGAATCATTTCATCAAACAAAATAAGTATTATTTTTAAGTATAGTTAAAGTGTCATATCTAAAATGCTTCTGTTTTTGTTCTTTTCATTCATTTATTCAAAAATGTTATTTTTCTGAGCACTCTAATAGATGCTTGGCATATAACAAATACCCATTTATATGGAACATCTGGTCCCAGTGTCCCCATATATGCTCACTCTATCATGATAGAAGTACGAAAATCAGTTAGATAAGTATCGTTTCCTGATTTATTTATAATAATAACAATATAATATTTACAATAATAAAATTACTTTATGTAAATGAAAAATTTAAAGTCTTTTCTCAGTACATGTTAAGGGTTAAAAACAAGTGTTTTATATCATTAAAATTAACTATTCATCAAAGATTTGTGGAGATAATACAGTAATTTGAAAGTTTATTTTTGATAATGTGTTAATTTATTTCTGCTTTCGATTTTCACAAAACAAAGTTGTCAACCTAACCTAATCTAATATTCACCATTAACATTACTCTTACTGTGGGAATTTTTTTTTTAAAGACTCTTTTTCAACACAAAGAAAGAAGCTAGAAGTTTCAGATCCTCACAAAGTAAATTAGATAATAAAAATTTATATTTATTCTGAAATGCTTAATGTTGAGGCATTTATCCTTTGAACCTGAACCAAAATTCAGGTTCAAATTTCTTAAACAACTTGCTAAATATTTTTTCAGTTGGTGTTTTCAAGCTATTCAAAACTGAACAAATATGTCATGAATATTATTAAAAAGAAACACAGTTCAACCATCACAGCAAAATCACACACACACACACACACACACACACAGATTTGAAACATGGATATTCTTCTGTGTCTGAATAAGTTTTCAGACATGTAATATCAACACTAAGAAATAATAAAACCTGTTCTTCATTCCTTATACAGTATGTATCTAAAAGATTGACATGGAAAACTGAGTATTAACCAAGTTATTCTTTCAACAGCCTCAGCCTGCCTAGATAATTCAGGCTCTAAAGACCTCTCTTCAATAACAGATGGCCAGTGATAGTTTGAGCAAAACAGTTAAATTCCCCAAGCAGTGCTCTTGGCTTAGCCAATGTATAAACTGTCTTAGTTTCTTTGGAATAAAAATTTACCCAGTGAAATTTTACAAGTTTATAGATAAAGTGGATTTCCTGGGAGTACTGTATTTTCCTGAGGACCCAGATCCAGAAATCAGATATAGCTATAGGGATGTTGCATATATAGTCCTAGTTCCCTGTATTTCAATTATCACCCAGAAGTTTTCTGATTTTATGGATTTGGTGAGTAATTAGTTAAAAACTGGTCAAATTTTGCAACTTTGTGGGAACTTCTTTCTGGATTTCTGCATGAAAGAAGAAAGAATCATTATAATCAATTTTATAAAGTTGTGATTTTTCCCTAAGCAATATTATTTAAAAAGTAAGTGTAATTCAGGGCACCTGGGTGGCTCAGTCAGTTAAGTGTCCGACTCTTGGTTTTGTCTCAGGTTATGATCTCAGGGTCCTGAGATGCAGCCCCATGTCAGGCTATGTGCTGGACATGGAGCTTACTTAGGATTCTCTCTCTCTCCCTTTCCCTCTGCCCCTCTCTGCCATCTCTTAAAAAAAAAAAAAAAAAAAAAAGGAAATGTAATTCACCCTCAAGCCCTCAGGAATCAATTACAAGTATGAGGGAGTTCAAATGAGAGCCAAGAATAAATGCACAAGCTAAAGTATTTAGTTAAGGAAGATTACCTGGCTCATATAGAAAGGCCAAAAGTTAAGTTATGGGATGTTTAAGATTTAAGAACAACTATTGGAATGTTCAGAAACCATCTTTTCTCTTTAAATATAACATGTAGTTTAGACATAATTCATGAAAAATTTTAGCATTGTCTTTAATATTGGATATAGTCATATTTTTCTGTTAAATAACTTTTGTTTTAAAATTTAAATTATGAGTACTATGAAGTATGATAGTATAACTCATTCCATTCTATGTAACAGTTTCAGATTGTGAGATGGAAAAGGTCAGGAGAGTCGATTTATGAAATGAAATACCCGGGGGAATGCAAAGATATATATGTGCCATATAGGTTTTAGTCCTTTATGATATATTTAGTAAAATGAGTTATCGATATTTTTTATTTGGTTGTATTCCAATCAAATGCTATAGACAAAAATATAAGTTTCTACCCAAATTCTATTTAAATTTTTAAGTATCTGATAATTTAAAATATTTTTTATGTTGGGAAAGGAATTAACACAACTTTCCAGAGAAATATTTCTTGCTTAATTCCTCTGAATGGATATGTATAAGAGCACTGAATGATGTGACTGTATTAGAATCACATAAGTCATCTAAAGGTGTCATTTGTAGATATCTCTCTGCCCCCAGCCGAATGTTATTCATCCCTAGGCAATCAGACAGAGTTCATCAAACTTATATGGATCAAGGAGCTAAAAAGGTCCTTTGCCCAAGACAAATTTTAGTTTCTCTTATTTCCTGTGTATACTTTATCACATGATACCAAAGAATATTGTCCTTGGGAAACATGTAAAGATTTCTCATGATCTCACTACACAACCTATAGTGCCAAAATTTTTCCTCAGTGCTATTTCAGTCTTATTTTATTTCTTGGAAATGCAGTTACCTTCTGTTTGAATCAGTACTTCAACAATAAGCAAATGCTATGGTTTTAAATTTAGCCATGAGTCAAAGAAAATAAAAGGAAAATAAGGATTATGTAAAGATTTGACAATAATAATACGTAGATACTAAATAAATAATTTCATAATAAATAACATATGCATAACAAACACAAATGTATGCGTGTGTGTGTGTGTGTATATATATATATATACACATTTATATATTCAGAAAAACAAGGCAAAATACCACTTATATGGAATAGCTGGTTGCCTACTGTTCACATGTATACTCTGTTATGTTAGAAAAAGGAAAATCAATAAAATAGCTATTTTTCCTGATTCCTTATCAAAATAATAATATTTTGAATATATGTATATACTCCATATTCTATATCTAGATTCTAAGTTATGAAGAAAAAAAGCCCATTTTTGCCCAGATTACTAATGCTATAGTCATTATATCTGTGTTGAAACAAATACTTGTACTTGTCAGCATCATCTATGTAATAATATGAACTTTCCAATAATCTTGGTAATATTATCATACTGTGGGGAGAGATTCAGGTGACCTGGGATCAACTCCTAGTTCAGAAATTTTCTGTATAGGAATAGACAAATCACTTGCTCTCTTTGAGTATCAGGTTTAATTCTCATTATCAGGCAAAGCATAAAGAAAAAAAGTGATGTGGAATAAAAGACCAGAGACCAAGACTAGCAGAAATTGAATGAGGAAAGGGGAGACAATGTGCCTATGTTTACACCTGGTAATGTCTGAAGATAGTTGTGGATAAGACAAGGTAAACTGATGGTAGGAGAGGGCATTCCATTCTGTTCTTTAACTGAATTAACCAATTATGATGATTAATTCTATGTGACTAGGCCAAAGGATGTCCAGATAGCTGGTAGAACATTATTTCTGGATGTGTTTGTGAGGGTGTTTCTGGAAGAGATTAGCATTTGAATCAGTAGACTGAGTAATGAAAATCATTCCACCAATGTAGTAGGCCTCATCCAGTCCCAAGTGCCTGAATTGAATAAAAATGTGAAGGAAGGGCGAATTCTCTCTTCCTCTCCTTGAGCTGGGACATCCGTCTTCTCTTACCCTTGGACGTTGGAGTTTCTGGTTCTTGTACCCTCAAAATTGAACTGAATTATACCAAAGGTTTTTATCGTTCTCCAGCTTGTAGATGACATGTTGTGGCGTGTCTTGGCCTCCATAATTTCATGAGCCAATTGCAGCAATACATTTCCTCTTCTGTCTCTTTATATATCCTAATGGTTCTGTTTCTCTGGAAAACCCTAAAAAATATACATATTAGCCCTGAGAAGCAGAGTGCTGCCGTAACATACACCTAAAAATGTGGACGTGGTTTTAGAACTGGATAAAAGTTAAAAGGCTAGAAGAATTTGGAGGTACATGCTAGAGAAAGCCAAGATTGCTGTGAATGGACCATTAAAGCAATTTTGGTAAGAGCACAGAAGGAAAAGAGGAGAGCTATAGAGAAAACCTCCATCTTCTTGTAGTATATCTAAGTGGTTGTGAACAGAATGTTGGTAGACATATGGATGGTAAAGGCTATTCTGATGAGGTTACAGACAGAAATGGGAACATGTTATTGGAAATTAGAGGAAAGGTGATTCTTTGTTATGAAATGGCAAAGAGTTTGGCTGAATTGTATTCATATCCTAGTGTCTTGTAGAAGGTAGAACTTGAGAGTGATAAAATTGGATGTTTGGCTGAGGCAGTATTTAAGCAAAGTGTTGAAGTAGCCGCTGGTTTCTCTTG